CGCAAAGACACGTGCACACACATCATCACACGCACGTCGGGCTTGGATACCCGCTCTACCCGCCGCCTTACCCCGGTGAGACATAAAACTACTTAATCGTTATTTTTCTTAGCGAATAGAGTCGCTTCTCAAACTAAATTATATATATGTCACCGTAAAATTGTGAATTTCGTCAGATTATAATCTGACGTAGTTAAATTACAATCTAACCTAACCTAACCCACTGTTAGTTTACAATCTAACGCGTTATATTATAAACTGACAGAGTTCACAATTTCACGTTGACATATACATATAAAAGAAAGTCGTGTNCTATATATATAAAAGAAAGTCGTGTTAGTTACTCCACTTATAACTCAAGAACGGCTGAACCGATTTAGCTGAAAATTGTCAGGGAGGTAGTTTAGAGCCAGGAGAAGGATATAGGATACTTTTTATCCCGTTCGAAATTAAAAAAAAAAGTCTGCTTATTTTTTGCCATTAAGGCGGAACAAAGTTCGCCGGGTCAGCTAGTTTTAAATAAATAACTTGAAAAAAACGAACTACCTAAGGCGAGACTCGACGAACCCACGACCTTCCGTTTGCCGGGCGACTACTCAACCTACAATTTTAAAATTCACAAAATAAATGAGATATGAACAGTTATTTATCCTGTGTGAAGCTTTCTGCATCAAAGGGTGCCTAGGCATATAGGCCATGGGCCATGGCGTTTATGCTGACCCTAGAAAATCACAGTCAAGCGAGGGTAATAATTTTACTAATACCGTATCTAACCAAAGAACTAATAATTATATAGTGACTAATTGCCTAACTGAATTGATGACGTTCCCCCTTACCTGATTGTTACAACTTGTATTTATTTTTATTTTATTTATTAGGACAACCAACAAGACAAACACGCATACATGAAATATTTATCTCATTGAAAGAATTGTCTCATTAAAGTTGTCGATGTCTTGGGTGGTTTGCATTCATTAAGTGCAGTCCATTACTCAAGGAGAATGTCCATTAACGTATACCCGTTTTGTTCTCCAGTGCAACGCGAGAGGCGCTAATGAGTGACGTGTCCTTGGTTGCAGGCGCCCGATAGCACTCGGACAAGCGCTCGCCGCAGCCGGTGTAGGGCGCCGAAGTAATGGCGATTGTGTGTTGCAGCGGCTGCCGTGCTGGCCAGCACCCAGGCGGTCGTCAACTCCTTCCCCACGCCGCCCAAGTGAGCGCGCCCGGCGCCCTGAGGACCCCGCCCGCGCCCTGGCGCCCTGAAGCCGGCCCTGGCGCCCTGAAGCCGGCCCTGGCGCCCTGAAGCCGGCCCTGTGCCCTGACGCCGGCTCTGGCGCCCTGAAGCCGGCCCGCGCCCTGCCGCGCCCGATGCCGGCATCCACAGCGCTTCCCAAGCGCCCCGGCCCTGACCCCACTCGGATGTGACTGTGAACTTAGTGCGAACTCAAAAGTGCCGTTTTCTCCTATCGAACTAATCTATGCCAGTAGCCATAATTTAAACACTGTGATCTCGCGTAACCCACGAATGTGTATGTGATGTGCGCTTTGAATGTTTAGAATGTGAACGGATAGTTACCTGAATTCTTTAGACGAGTGTTGTGTGCGGACTCCTACCTGGATGTTGTGTTGTCGGTGTTCCCGGATTCCCGGGCGTTCCCGGGCCGAGCGCGGGACTCTTGGCGCTCGCCCGTGTATGTTTTGTTTTATATGTTCACTAGTGAAGCACAAACTAGATTTGTAAATATTAGTGTTATGTGTAAATTACTTTACGTCGTTAGCGCTCCGTAAGGATTTAATGTAATATAAACATCGAATTCTCTGATTCTCCATCTGGGCATTGTACTGAAGTTTGAAGCCCCCACTAAATTTAATATCATGCGAATACAGCCTAGTAAGATCTTTATTTATGAATACTGCATTCCACAAAGAAAGCAAGCGTACCTAGATTTTAAAGCTAAGATTAATTAATATTAAGCGAGTACTAGCGTAAGTTTAAAGGCGTCAATGTGATCATTACATGAGTCGTAGCGTGCACAAATCATACTCTGTCTCGATTATAGTGATGAATGACTTATTATAATATAAACCGTAGAGAGCATCCTATAGAGTCGTGGAGTGTGTGGGCATTGCTGTGCGTGTATGTCTGGCTTTTAATGATATATTAAATCTCATAGTCCGTATTCTCACATACAAGGGATTAGTGTTTCTCTACTTTCTTATACTGTGCGTATGCGTTCCACACACGGTCCGCCACTGAGGCACGTGTCACATTAGGCACATCGTACTCGACCCATTCCCAGCTGCTATTTTCATGCTTTAACCCTTTCACTGTATCAGTGGTGAGAATCTTGTGTGGTAACATTTTACTATGATGTTTAAAATTTTCCTGGTCACCACAATATTAGAATCAATTAAATCGGGATGACCACCATAATTATGCCTTTATACTAGTCAGATATTGATTCTGGATCCCAGAGTCGAGTGTACTAACTTAAAGGACGATAAGTTTTTGCCCGTAAAAAGTACAAGCATAGCATTTAGCTATCCGGTGGCCGGTGGCCATGTGCTATATAAAGGTTAATCAAAACCCGATCTAGTTAATTCTATGTTACTGTTTACACTTTTATGTATAATGCATTTAGTCTCCCAGTTCGGGTCTGGGTATCTGGTAGTAGCCACAAATACCGAGCAATAGACAAACAGAAAAGTACAGACCACAAAGAAGTAATTTTGTGGTGGTTGCAAATCGCGCTTCCCTAGTTATCTATGGTTTGTGGTTTCCACCGAATGCCTTCGGGTCCAGCTCAGTTTTGTACCGCCTAGTTGTTGATAATATTACGCGGTATATTGTTCGATACAGTCTTCCAAACGGTTGATTTGAATGTTTAGTAGTTATTGTGTTTGCATTTACTTCTCATGGTGGATGATGAAAATGAGGTGTCACAATGTGGTTTATTGTTAGAGTGAGAAACGAAGCGTCATGGATTGCATTTCTATTAGATGAACATTTATTAACACATTAGAAAACATACAAATATTATTGTAGTGTATAACGATATTATTTTCATGACATTTTAGTCAGTACGCACGTACCTGTTTCTTAATTCTTAACTAACAAATTTCGTATTAATAAGCGGGCCTAAATATTAGAACGTTTTGAAAAAAGCCAGTGAGTTGATTTTTATCAGCAATGTTCTTTCGAGACAAAACTACTTAAATACTTTCTCTAATGTACAAAATTGTAATCAGGGAAGATGTTTCTAATACTCAAAAAAGAACTATCTAAATGATGAATGGTCATGCGACTCATAAACATTTAACTGTACTATTGACCGAAATTCATTATGGAATTGATATATTGTTCCATCATAAGCTGGTGCCGTGTAAGTCTGCCTTTAGAAACTTCTTCCGTGATTATAAAATGTCATAACTGTTAGTACTGTAGCACATTAGGTCACTGGCGTCGCTGATGTATCACACACAGCTCTCACATAACGTGAATTTTAAAAGTTCAATATTTTTTTCACTAATTGCAGTTTTAAGATCTTTTCGAGTTGTGTGCGATACGGCAGAACACGATGGAGTCGAAAATCGTCTCAGAAATTGTAATTTTAAATTGAATTCTTGTGGCTCTAAAGATACCACAGTCGAGTGACATAATGTGCGGCGGTACAAAACAATGAGAAGTGTTAGAAGAGTAATAAAGCGATTGTATGAGTGTAACCCCGAGCATGCGCGGCGGAGTCACGTGATCTCAAAGCGCTGCGGACGCATAGACTGACTGAACGATTGATTTATCCGAGTGTCTATTCAGTACATGTTTCCATGTGTAAAGCCTGGTCCGTGAGCACATAGAATCCCGTCCAATGACCCCAAGCGTCGCGACTGTGCGACGCGCGTCCGTAGTGAGTGTGCGAGCGCGACAGCAACATAATTACGTGCGAGCGACAAGGATGGGCAGCTTGGGGTCATTGGACGGGATTCTACGTGCTCACGGACCAGGCTTTAGTGTCAGCGATAAATATTCGTAGTTCATGCCAACCAAAGTAGCTAAGAAGTTCGCAACACGTCTTTATTACTATTGGAATAAGGTTGTGTTATCAACTTTTTGGCCACTTTGGGGTTCACAAACTATTTGACGCTGATTATGCCTAATATTACGAAGGTTGATTTATTTTAGGCGATCAAATATACAATATAAATAATAAATAATAAATAAATATCCTTGGACATTTTACACTGCGCTTCTAGTCCCAAACTAAGCAAAGCTTGTACTATGGGTACTAGACAACGGATATAAACATACTTAAATACTTTTTTTTTGTAAATACATACATATTATACATAGAAAACACCCAGTCCAATACAAACAAATATGTTCATGCACACAAATGTTTGTACTGTGCGGGAATCGAACCCGCAACCTCCGGAATAGAAGTCCGTTTCGAACCACTACACCAAACGGCCGACCAAATTTCGAACCACTACACTACAACAAACCAAATATGAATAATGCCGTCTTGTAAATACGATTTATGAGAATCGATCTAAAATAGATAATTGTACACACGATTAGAAAGATTGTCGTTTATATTTTTGTCGCCAACTGCCTACGGTTTGGCAGCATCGGTGTGCAGAGAGCTTAAGTTTGAACTTAACTCGAGAGTAATGGATAAGGATCTGTAATAAACTCTAATATCATTCGTTATCAAACCTTAAGCGGTCACAGAAGGCCACGGTATCAATTGATTTCTATTGTCTATAAAACCAATTGTCATTTTTTTTTAACTCTCGATGCCAATGCGAGTGAGAGTTATGGATGGATAATAAATAGCTTGTGTCGAAATCAAAACTAAAATATCGAATCGATAGGCTGATATAGTGCTAAATAATTAAACATGGTCACGTGTACTGAGTAGAGTTGCAAGTGACGCGATAACGCGATCGCGATATACGCTTTCATTAACTAGTGTCCATGCCAGTGGCGACTGGTATGACACGTGGTCATTGTATTTATAATGTATCGATATATAATATGAACATTTGTGTATTTTTTTGATGTAACTAAAGCCAAGTTTGATTTTTCTTAGAAAAGAATTCGAGACGTTAAAAAAGGAATAATAAAGATAAATTATTTCTTAAAAAATGAGTTTTATTTTAAAGTCCTTAATAGTAAGGTTACATTATTGTCATGTGCAGATTATGCTTGTAAATTGTGAGGTTGACTAGGAGGTAAAAGAATTTCATACATTGCGTACAAACAAGTATGGTAACTTACTTACATTAAAATTACGCGCATCAAAAGAATTTGTGAAAAAAATTAAAGCTTAAAGTAAAATAAATTAATTACAATTGCAGAACTTATTTTTACTTAAATATTAACACAATACTGTTGCAGAAATGCCATTATCTTCACAATATCGGCATAACTTATTACGAAATTAAATGATAAAACTTATTGGCAATATAAAGTTACGTAATGTAAACAAAAAGTTAATAAACACAGGTAAATGGAGCATATAAAGCTTAAATTCATCAAAAGTTAAATGTTTACTTTGGTTTATTACATTTTATTGTTGGTAAAGAAACTTGTTTGTCATGACATTGAACTGTACTTAGAGATCATTTTTTATCAAATTGTAGTTGTTGGGAATTATCTCGATCGAAATTCATTATTAAGTACATACATTTTTATACAAAATATTTTTCAAAATTTTAAAGCCGAATCTCTACTCTAGTAAATTACAAAAATTGTTCTTTTATCTACATGCAAGTAAAAATGTTATATCTAAAATAATTTACTTATTAGCCGAACCACAATTAATTTACTATCGAGAAAAATTAATACCGCGAAATTTTATTTCATTTGTATCACAACCAATTTACAATCGTTATTACTTATTATTTCCAAAATCAATCTATGTCGTCGGGTCTCAACTGCCTCTCCCCTTCGCTCAAGAATATTTGCAGGGCCTTGTATAGTAGGTATAAGCCGAGCATTCTTCTTTCTTTCAGAGGTAAGGAGGCAGCCACGCCGTAATAGGTGCCGCTTTTTAAATTTTTCAAGTTTTGAAGTCCTAATACATCTATCATGGAAGCTTCGTACGTGTAGGCCTCAGCTGGGATGACGTTTTGGAAGATGTGAAGGCAGATGACACCAACCTTGTCGGACCAGATGTCGAGGATCTTCTGAACTTTCTTGTCGGGAGACGAGGTGAAGTTCCGTTTCCAGAGGGTGAGAGCTTGGTATAAATGGGAGTAGGGCCGCGAACGTTTGCCTGGAATAGAAGAAATAGATTATGTAGTCTTTTTTGTGATTGAATCTAGGATTTGGCGACATATTAGATTTGTGATTAGCTGCAACCATAAGTTAGGGAAACTGTAAGGCTGACGGCAAACGAGTGTACCTACTATCCTTAGCGTAATTAACAACGTTCAAGTTCCACCATATTTTGTGCCGTGAAATATAATTTTTTTGTAGACTCAAAAAACGCGTTGTCGTTTGTTAATATTAAATTTTAACACAGGATCACCAGAGTTATCTTAGTCACTGATTTATTTTTGAAAAATCAAGTGGACTCAAGCCTGCAAGGTCAATCAAATACACAGTCGGTTTACACTAAGCGTAGCTCATCTGAGAATCGATTCTTTGAGAATTGATAAAACCTCTAGCCTCAGGACAAAACCTTTTTATTATTCATCATCATCATCATTTCAGCCACAGGAAGTCGACTGCTGAACTTTTTATTATTAACTAGCTTTCCGCCCGCGGTTTCGCCCGCGTGGAATTTTGTCTGTCGCAGAAAAACAATATTGCGCGCGTATTTGCTCACCAGGGTAGGTCCCTGGACTACGACAAACATTTTAAAACCAAAATCAGCTCAATCGGCCCAGCCGTTCTCGAGTTTTAATCAGACTAACGAACAGCAATTCATTTTTATTTATATAGATAGATAGATAGATAAAAAAAAATTACCTTTCCCGACGTAGAATATGGAGTTTATGAAGGTGCTCCACGAAACGTGGTGTGACTGCGCCGCCGCCTTAGCGGGCAGATTGTCCGTGACTCTCGGGTCGAGCAGCAAATAAGTGAACGAGGTCTTAGCGGAGCCCTCGCGCCATTTGCGGAGCGGGTTGGCGAAGTCACCGCGAACTTTGTTCTCTATTTCTATGTACGGAGAGAGGTTTTTCGTCCAATCCTCTGAACGCAAAGACTTTTCTAGTTCTATGCTGTACGCTGCGGAATTGGTTTTGAGTTAGGTTTGGTTGGCATAAAATATAAATTCTGGTGTTCTTGTTTTTAATTTCTAGAGCAGGGCTTCCCAAACTGTTCTTTGCGAAGCCCTGAGGCTTTCGCACTTTGATTTTGACGTTGCAAAATTCTAATGGCGAATTCCCAAGGGAGACACTGTAAGATAAAGTTTGGGAAGTCCTGAGCCTACATTTAAAAACAACAATACAATTTGTATGGTTCAGGTTCTTGTCCAAAGATCGCATTTATAAATGAAAAGGGTGGCATATCCAATCCATCGCGATTTAGTCTATAGAATTTACCTTTATTTATAAGGGATTTTGTTAAAATTTCACTTTTTAATTTATACTCTTTCAACACCATTGTAAAAATTTGTAAATAATAATAATTACAAAATAAACAACATTGACATCAAAAATTTGGACATTGACAAACCTGATGGCCATAAATTGATACTTGTAAATAAAAAAGGTTCTATGAAATGAGTTTTTAAATAAAATAGGAAATTTCTGACAAGTGACCGAAACGGGTATGGAAACGGGAGACCACAAAGTATGCTACTTTTCGGGAAACCGTGACCGTTACTTACGCCCGTATTCACAAACGATGCTTGCTTCTTAAGTTAAGCAGAAAATCGAACGCACAGCGTTGAATAGAGCTCTGTAATTGGTTCGTGTGTCACCCTGTGCGTCCACGCGCTATAGTAATGTTTGTGAATACGGGCGTTGAGTTCCTGTCTCTGTCTTGCTCGCGAATGAGGGTTTTCGCGATTGGAAAATCCGCCAGATGGCAATGCGTAGACGCGAGGTCCAAATACTGCGTGATTGGTGGATTTTGACATATCTGTCAATGTCACGTCAAAAATAACCAATCATGCAGCATTTGGACCTCGCGTCTACGTATTGCCATCTGGCGGATTTTTCAATCGCGAAAACCCTCATTGATGCCAAATTGATGCATAAACAATATACCTACATAATAAATAAAAACAAGTAACGGTCGCGGTATCGCTTCTCAGTCGCTGTATCGCGTCTCGGTCGCGGTATCGCTTCTCAGTCGCTGTATCGCGTCTCGGTCGCTTGTCTCTCGTGGTGCAAGTAAGAGAGTAAATTATCAAACCAGTTACTCATCCGTAGTGATATGAATAAAGATAAATGAACTTTTACTTACTTTTACCCTGGTTCGTCTGAAGAATGGGATTCTTCTTTAAAGCTTGTAGTTTCTTCAGGTACAATGTTCTGGTGGAGTCCTGTATAGGTCCCGGCCTGAAGCCACGCTTTACCAGCTCCTCTCGGAGTGTGTTGTTGTCATACTGGACCGATGAAGGGAGGGATGAGGCCACGGACTGTATCGTTTGGTCCGGACTGTTCAAGTCTGTTCCCTCTTCTATTGGAAGCCTGTGTAGTTAAATTATGTTTTAGCCAATAAGCATAATAGTTGTCTAAAAATTATTTGATTAATTATTATTATTGGTTTTGGGCCTTCATTTGCGCCAGCTCGACCAGGTTTGATCTATTGTGGCAGCCCTTGTCTTTAGAGTTCACTGCTTAGTCCCGTTGAGTCTATAAATTTCCAGATTCTTTTATTTGATTAAAGAAAAACCACCAATCCATTGGCTCATCAATATCCATCGGTTCAACTATTCAATAAATTATACATTTAAATATTTGAGTGTTGAGGTCGTTTCACTAAATATTAAATTTGTTTCATATCAACGTATACCAACACAGTATCAGTGTTTTGATAAAAAATTGCTTATAACATCACTATCTAATCTATTCTGTTGTAAATAATATTAATCACAATTACAGCTTTATTGAGTTAGTCATAGGTTCTTGTATGATATAATAAAATTAACATTTTTATTGTGTTTGAAGAAGTTCTGAAAGTTAGTTCTCAAGATAGAAACAGTTATACTTACACAATTGACGATACCAGCAATCTTTTCTCGATCAAAACCACATTTTCATCTTTATCTTCGTACTTATATTCCTCTTGCATGTTCCCTATCACTATACTGCCTCCGGAATAGTTGCTGCTTACTCCACTGCTAGCGGAAGACCTTCTTGTATTCATAGCGTTGACGTCTGTCACTGATGATATGTTGCTCAGTAAGAATTCATTACTCTTATTCTGGACAACCACCAACGCCTTGTCCAAGTCAACTTTGGATGTGTCACTAGACAGCAATGACTGGGAACTATCCAACGTCAAAATATGTTTCATATCAGAACATAAAGAAGACACACAATTCTTCTTACAGGACCTCAAATTACTTTTTGAGTTGTAATTCTTATGCATAATACTGTTGGGAGACCCAGGCAAGGAGAAGTTCTCGTATATGCTTACTCTGCCTTTTAAATCCGAACTGCTATTACTTTGGCTGCACTGGCAATTGGTTTGGTCCAGAGTTAATTCTAACTTCTTAACTCCACTTATTTCTACTTCGTAAGGTACATTTTTCGTCAAGCATGTCTTAAAACTACTGTTGGTTTCATCCAACTCAGGATGGATTGACATTCTATTATTATTACTGAGATCACAAGTGGTGTTTTTGGTGAAATCTGAACTTTTCCAAGGAACAGATTCATTTTCTAACAGGTACGTATCACCCAATATCGTTGGGTAAAGTTTGTTGATGACAAGACTGTTTTTCTCACACCAGTCCCGTACCATCTCTGATTTTCTGGGCATTGTACGATCATACAAGTTGTTATTTTCGATTGGTTCATATTCTGCAACCATTTGGTTTGTTGTCACTAACACTTTTTCTGAAAAATTTACCATAGTCGTTAATCAACAAGGAAAATTATTACAAACTAATTCAAGGTCTTTTTATGAATGATAAGCTAAATAACAATACAAGCTAAATAATAATAAGTACCTACCTAAATCTAATGTATATGCACATGAGGAACCAAAACTGTCATCAACCTGGTCCACCACATTGTGGAGGTAGTCGTATACCTCCCATTGCTGTTCTCGCACAGCATAGTCAAATGCTGTGAGTCCATCAAGATCACAGCGTGATGGGTCACCTCCGCACCCAATCAGGAGCTTTAGGTTGTCCACGCGGCCCCATATAGCCGCTATGTGGACTGGAGTCACTCCATCGTCATTGCTGTAGATAATAAGATAAAAAATGTCAGTAGTGACAATATTAGATGGCAAGATCTTCAAATTTTAAGTCTCTACCCTTGGTGTAATCGTTTACATTTATGTCCTTCAGTCAGTCGTATAGGTCACTACGGCTTATGTAATTAATAATAGATAGATTTAATAAATAATAATCTTACCACAAATTGGGATCTCCTCCATACTTCAAAAGTAACTCCGTGCACTGCTTGGACTTTTCCAATGGGTCAATACCTACTGCCAAGTGGAGAACACTGATACCTTTGCAAGGTAACACTCCGTTTATGGACACCTGGATATCTTTGAGATAAGCTTCTACAGAGCTGGAATGGATAAAAGGTAGATAAATTAATATTAGACACAAACATTGCACAACTGTTGTAATAATTGCACTTGATGCCAAATACTTTCACTTTTCAGTTTAATGGGCCTGGATATGGTAAAAAGTAAATATAATTTAGTTTTTATCGTTGTATGGATCTATCTTGTGCAATATTCTAGCATGATTCTAGCGTTATACATCAATTTATGGAAATAAAATACAACTCAAAAATTTAACGCCGCAGGGGGCCCGACTGCAATTTATTACATTATTTGCAGTTGTTAATGATTTAATTAGCTGTGAATACATACCTTACATCTCCACATTGTATTAAATCGTACAATTTAAACAATTCTCTATACGTTGTGCCCATGATTTTGATCAAAATTAGTCACCCAGATTCGCTATGTTGCGATATCATTTCCTGTAGGGCACGGCCCGTTTGATTTCACTTCTATTTATAACTTTTACACATTCAATCAATAAATTCACCACTAATAAATAAAAACACCGTTTTTAAAGGAAAATCGCTAATTTCCTCACATTTTCGTTTGTTTTTTTTAGAATTTTTTGAACTAACGTCACATTTTGCATCTTTGTTTACGTTTGTTAGGAATGTTGCGTTCCGTTTCACGCGGATGTTCGATAAAACCTGTTATAAAATCCACTCAAACACGGATTTGATATTTTTTATGATTATGAATTTATGTCTCAAGATTATTATATACGTTGATTATAACTTTTTAATAATTAAAATAACGAATAAAACCAACAACTTTCCACCTATTAAATCCAATCATCTTTTCCATGAAATGAAATAGGCCAACAAAGTCACCTTTCTTCACCTGGCGCAGGTGTAGGGAAACCTGTTAAATGTTGAACAAGAAATAAGTTTATAAGAATTTAATTTAATATCCATGGAATACGCATTCATTTGACAAACTAGTAATTACTAAAAAAAGTGATCATCCGGTTTATAAAGGCGGTTAGGGCGCAGTAGGTAATTCACCTAATTAATACCTATCTGCTATCTAACACTTGCTTTTAAGTTTTATGACTTGAAGTTATATGTGATTTTATGTCAGAGTAGGTAGGTATTTATCTAGTTTTTAAACAATCGTTAAGTATTAAATATATAAACTGGAAATAAGAAACTATTGAAACAAAAAAACTTGAATGTAGTGGAAAAGCAAATAAAAGTAAAGTAACTCTACTTCATTAAGAGCGTTGTAGCAAAAAGTTGGCGTTCGAATTTTAGGTTTTTATTGCTTGACGTCGCGTAGTGAGTGCGCAAACTGCATTTATCTGTACAATTTCAACGCTGCGTCGCACTATGGATCGAAATTGCGATTTATGGACATAGCTATTTTTTTCACAATTTCTATTTGAAAAAATTACCTATCGATAGGTTACGTTATTCTGATGAATAAATGCTGCACAAGTTTTTCTCTAAAACCAATAGTTTGGCTGGAAAAAAATATTTTCCATTTTCGTTGTATGGAATGAAACATAAAGTGGTCGATTTCGACTAAGCCTTGACAGATCTTGCTTTGAAACTACTTAAGCCTTGTTTTATGGCTTGTTGACTATAATCTTACGCAATNATTTCATACATTTAATACAGTTACAAACAAACACGAAATCAATGGTTTCTGAGAATTCTGAGTGCCTTTATGCCGTCCCCTTTATCTGTTTATTTAGTATTTATTAATTAGTAGGTATCTCTTGATGATATTGTAGCAAGTTAAAGATAAAATCATGTTTTCCGTAAATAATTTAAATAAGAATGCAATTTACGAGTTTGTTGTTTGATTATTATATACTCAACATCAAATAAACCGCACCTTCCGCGACGCGAACTTTAACGATTTTCTTCTGACACAATCATGGTACCCCAACAATATTGGTGTTATTTGAAAGCCCAATAAATATCCTTAAAGAAAAACACATTTAATTTCTTAATAAATGATTAACATATACCATAAATGTGACTTGAAAAAATACCTCACTTTGGGCCCACCTATGGGATCAATTAGAACAATTTTTATGGTTATAAAACCAAATAATGATTTCACGTGTCCTCTTTAACAGATGGATAGCAATTAAACCCAACTTAACAGTTTTATAGGCATAAAAGTTGGCTCCTCTAGCGTAACTACCTATTTTTTGAAGAAGTGACTCTGGATCCTTGTAAAGACACATTTTTGGGGTAAAAACCTTTCCTTTAATGAAATGAAGGTTAGAACTAGACTTTTATATGGTACCAATATTGGTGGGAAGTGGGGATGCATACGTTTGCAAGTGCTTGTCGCGGGAGGTGCGATTTATTTGACGTCGAGTGTATATTACTCAATTAAAAATTTAAATTTAAAAAATTAACACTTCTAATATGGTAGGTATGGCTGGCGGCATACATTTAGTATGAAATTCGGAAACATTGAATTTTCGCATAGATCCAGTTTATTCTTTGACCTATTTATTGTTATTGTTTTAAAGAGCTCTTGAAGCACTTACAGGAAGAGTAAACAGTTTCTCGATATCTTGTATAATTAAAAATCAAGTGAAATCACTTATCGTTTCCACCCTGTACCTATACTTTTAAAAATAAACTCATTTTATACGTTCATTTGTATAAGTATCTACAATACAAATACCTAACCAACTTAGTTGACGTTTTATAAAACTATTTGTCTAAGTGTCATCGAGCGACCGCTGGTNAACTTTTACTTTCGACCGCGTACCGAGATTTAAAATTCGAAGAAATGCTCGCGTTTCGTCGGTTTATATGAAGTTACAATACTGTATGATATTATTACCGTGGTATAGGCATTTTAAGTATTTACCTACTAGTTTTTAAACAATCGATAAGTATTTAATGAAAGAAACTGCAAACAACTATAGAAATAAAATACTTGAATGTGGTGGAAAAGCAAAGTAAAATAACTCTACTTCATTAGTTAGACTTAAGTTCCACAGCTGGGCAACTGTGAGGTATTGGTAATTCAGACTTTAGTCAACCACGCGGCTAAATCACGTTTAAGAAAAATTGCTCTACACAAAGCGCTAGGCGTTAAATTGTTTTTCCAACGAACAAAAATTTAAATTCATCAATTAATTATCTAGGTATAATAAATATAGTACGAGTGTAGGATTTGTTTTGTGCGAAATGCATGAAAAAAATTAGTCGTAACGCGCACATTGAAAACCAAAGAACCGCATTCACCTCAATATGCCCGCATTTTGACCTGCATAGCTTCGTGTATTACATACATAGGTACCGATTTATTTAATATACTATACCGATTATGAGTAACTTATTACAACACACACGTCGTAAGACTCGTAAGTAGCTAATGGTGTGTAAAAAAAACGCCAGTAGAAAATACGGCCACCCCTATTAATTTCTTTCAGTGAACAATTTTATTAATTTGTGCTATCAAACAAAATTAATAAATTGCCACCTTACCTTTGGGAATGAAAAACTAATTCATCCATCATCACTTTGGAATCGAACCCGCGCTCTACCATGCTTACTCTGGTAGTATGTAGGTACTTACTATAATGTAAGTTAAAAGTTCTCCAAGTAATTAATATCAATTTATTATCATTTTTCATTGAACATTTACATACCTTGCTACACGTGTCTAATAGGATTACGTAGGTAAAACATATTAAGTAGGTCATCGTAAAAAACGCTGGTAAAATGGTAGTACGTAGGTACGTACCTACTTAAACTAAGTATTAATTTGTATCAATTATATGAAAACAAAAACATCCTTTGGTGAGGCCTAAGTTTTTGTGCCTACCTAAGTTCAGCAGTGGTCAACCTAACGTCATGATCGTTTAATATTATTATGAAGAAATCGAGCTTTTTATAGGTATTAGATTGGACTCATTAGCGTGGTTACGTGTGTTATAAATAATGATGGTAAAGGTTTTGCAAAAAGGATGTTTATGTCAAAATAATTATGTTAAGTTCTAAACTATATTTTTGAGTAGGCTTACCGATGTTTGATCGGTTTCCAATTACTTAAAGCGAGTAATTTCTGTCCTCCAAAATAACTTATGTATCTTATCTGGCCTGTCCAAGAACATCGGTTAACAGAACAGTTAGTTACGTATACTTTTAAAGCATTTATGTAGTTTGCATTAGCAACTTTGCGGGATGTCGAGCGTGGATAGCCTCTCAATGAATAGAGGAGATAGCACTGCATTTTATCAGGCAGCGATGCAATATCAAGTAACGACGCCTCGGCCATCCGCATAGTACGTCAGTGGCCGGCAGCACAGCTGGTTATCTTGTCTGCGGGTTAAAAATAAAAAAGTTATTAAAATGGCGGGAATTTTGGTAAGTGCATTTTTTTATTTGAGTGAGCGTGAAATACAAACAAAATGCAGTTCACAAGAACAAGAGCGATCGAAAAACATCAATTTACTTATTATTAGTGAGTTAGTTTTTATTCAATAACATTAGATTTTGGAAACTGTAAATTACTAGCAAATAAAGGAGAACTTTACAGATGTCGTCAAAATATGAAAAAAATGTAGTTTACATTATGGGTCCGTTTTCGCAGTTCGCAGACCCTCCCTTATTTTTGCTAACCCTCGCTTATTTATGATTGGGGTTGTTTTTGAAGAATGTCTTTATTTTTAAAACTGTATCAAAAGTTCAGTGTTAAGTATTCATCAAAATCTGTACAAAACTTAAGCTCAACGAAATCTATCATCAGTTAAATTCAAAATTATTGTATTATTCTATTCTAACGAAGTATGAATTGAAAGTAGGTTGTTCTTAAAAAGGTTAAATATTATTAGGAGTACCAAACCTAAATAAATCTTGATCTAGTGAGACGTAAAATGTAAAAATGTAAAATGCTACCTATAATGTGTATTTTTATTGTAGTCACGTATTTGTATGAATGGTCATTTATTACTTATCTCATTTTGCACGCACTGCGAATATCAATTCCTCTTTGGTGTCTCATTACAATAAATAAATAAAATAAGTGAGTTAGGCAATCGAAAACTAGATTTGAACTAATCGATTCAAGGTATTTACTCGAGGTTCTATTAGCGTGTGCTTTTGGTAATATTAGGTACTGACTACAGCACTTTTAGCTTAAATATTAATATCGTGGCATTTAATATTATGCATTTCTAATAAGTCCTACTATTACTACTAGAATAACAAAAATGTGTAGATAGATGTGAAGTTGACTGTACTACTGGTTGAGTCCGGGATTATAAAGTTACCTACCAAATACGTGTTATACAGGCTGTTTTGCGCATAAAGGGCGTTCTACGCACACTTTTATGGTATTTTAATATTTTTAACTAAGATTGCAATATAAAATTATCTTTTTGAACGTCTTT